CCACCTCCTTACTGTGAAGCAACAGAAGGGAGAGTCACTGCGAGATTACATTAGTCGTTTTAACACGGAGATGTTACAGGTGGAGGAAGCGGATGACAAGGTGGCCCTAGCCGCCTTCATGGAGGACTTCAAACCTCAAGATTTCTCTTCTCTTTATCAGAGGAACCTCCTACCAACATGGCCGAGTTATTGGTTCGAGCTAAAAGACATATGAATGCTGAAGATGCAATGATTGCGAGAAAGGGAAAAGAAGGGGAGGATAAGAAGTCAGACAAGAAAAGGCCGGCCCTGACAATCAGAGATGAAAAGGAAACCAAGTATAAGAAACCCATGGTCAACCAGAATGAAAGGGCATCTCGCTATAAGAACACGGAGAGGTATACAAATTACACTCCTTTAAATATGCCGATAGATCAAGTTTTCCTACAGATGCAGGATGAACCATATTTGAAGTGGCCACCGAAGTTGAAGTCAGATCCGGCAAGGAGACCTCGTGATAAGTATTGCAGGTTCCATAAAGACCATGGGCACGCTACAGAGGATTGCTTCGACCTTAAGGATCAAATTGAGACTCTGATCCGAAGGGGGCACATGCGAAAATTTATTGTGGGGAATGACAGAACCGACATTAACCCGCTAAGAGCAGGCCGAGATAACCACCCCCCTGATCAACAACCAATAGGAGAGATCAGGGTCATAGCCGAAGGGTGTACAGGAGGTGGAGAATCGAGCTCAGCCCGTAAGGCCTATGCAAGGAGAATGCGAAGCTCATCTGAGGTGTGCGAAGTGGGAGTACAGATTCAACATCGAAAGATGCCTCGTTTAGGTGATCCAGTTATTACATTCTCAGATGAAGACATGAAAGATGTGCAGCAACCTCATGACGACCCTCTTGTCGTCACCATGATGATCGCTAACTATAATACTCGGCGAATCTTAGTAGATAATGGAAGTTCAGCTGATATCATTTTTCTTGATGCATTCAGCAAGATGAAGATTGGTAAAGAGAAACTCAGACCTACCAGATCACCATTGGTGGGATTCACGGGAGACAAAGTCTATCCTCTGGGAGCAGTCATCCTTCCTGTCACTGCAGGAACCAGCCCAAAACAAGTCACTGTCATGGTCGACTTCCTGGTGGTGGATTGTCCATCTGCTTACAATGTCATCCTAGGAAGAGCGACCTTAAATTCGATGAGGGCTATCACTTCGACTTATCACCTATTAATGTGCTTCCCTACCGAGCATGGCGTGGGCGAACTAAGAGGAGATCAGTCCATTGCCAGAGAATGCTACGTTGCCTCTCTCAAAGAAAAGAGACAACAGGAGGCTTTGATTGTAGATGAAGTTAAAGAGAATGAGCAAGACCGGGCTAAGCCAATCGAGGACTTGGTAGAGATATGCTTGAATGACACTGACATAACAAAAAAAGTGAAGATAGGGTCTCTGCTCCCCTCAGATTTCACAAATATTCTTATACAGTTCCTCAGACGGAATCAAGATGTATTCGCCTGGTCACATGAAGACATGCCCGGTATTAATCCAACTACGATTGAGCATCGATTAAACACAGATCCTACATTCAAACCTATCAGGCAAAAGCGAAGAACATTTGCCACGGAAAGGAACATGGCTATATCAGAAGAGGTGAATAAGCTTATGAAAGCTGATTTCATCCAGGATGTTCATTATCCCGACTGGTTGGCCAATGTTGTTTTGGTAAAAAAGGCCAATGGAAAATAGAGGTTGTGTGTAGACTTTACGGATTTAAATAAGGCGTGCCCCAAAGACAGTTTCCCTCTGCCAAGAATTGATATGTTGGTAGAAGGGACAGCTGGCTATGAGCTGCTCAGTTTTATGGATGCATATTCAGGGTATAACCAAATCTCAATGCACACGCCAGACAGAGATAAAACCTCTTTCATCACGGACCAAGGTTTATATTGCTATAAGGTGATGCCTTTTGGGCTAAAAAATGCTGGTGCAACATATCAGCGGCTAGTAAACCTGATGTTTAAGGACCAAATCGGAAGGAATATGGAAGTGTATGTGGATGACATGCTGGTAAAAAGCTTGAAAGCTCAAGACCATCTGGTTGATCTACAGGAAACGTTCCAAGTCCTCAGGAAACACCAGATGAAGCTCAACCCAAGTAAATGTGCCTTCGGAGTCTCCTCTGGGAAATTCCTCGGTTACATGGTAAGTAGAAGAGGGATAGAAGCTAACCCTGAGAAGGTCCAGGCGATTCTCAACATGCAGTCTCCAGCATCGACCAAGGAACTTCAAAGATTGACAGGAAGGATCGCAGCTCTGAACAGGTTGATTTCCAGGGCGACCGATAGGTGTTTGCCTTTTTTTCGTGTGCTCAGGAAAGCTTTTTCATGGACCCCTGAGTGCGAGCAAGCTTTTACAGAGCTAAAGGAGTATCTCACTTCACCACCATTATTGTCGCGGGCGATGCAAGGAGAACAATTGTATTTGTACTTGGCAGTTTCTCCGTCGGCAGTAAGCTCAGCCTTGGTCCGCGAAGAGGATGGAAACCAGAAACCGGTATATTACATTAGTCGTGCATTCAGGGGGGCGGAAGAAAGATACCCAAGGATAGAAAAGTTGGCATTTGCTCTAGTTATCTCCGCGAGGAAACTCAGGCCTTACTTCCAAGCTCATACAATAATAGTATTGACGGACCAACCACTTAGGTAGGTTCTCCGCAAACCTGATACTTCAGGGCGACTCATGAAGTGGTCGGTAGAACTTGGAAAGTTCGATATCCAATACAAACCCCAAACGGCCTTAAAAGCCCAGGTACTGGCAGATGTTATAGCGGAATTCACACCAGAAGATGGGCCCGAGCATGCTGCAGATAAGCAGGAAGAAGCCGAATCTAATTGGACGTTATATGTGGATGGGTCTGTCAACGCCCGTGCAAGTGGGGCAGGGCTAGTAATTATCTCCCCAAATGGGGAATGCATCAAATATGCACTCAGGTTTGGTTTTAAAGCAACCAACAATGAAGCAGAGTATGAAGCCCTCCTAGCAGGCCTCATGATGGCGAAAGCTTTGGAAGTTGAACGACTAGTAGCATATACTGACTCTCAACTAATAACTGGACAAGTCCAGGGGGAATATGAAGCCAAGGATGAGAAGATGAAGACCTATTTACATAAGATAGAGGATATCAAGGATTTTTTTAAGAAGTTTTCTATTCACCGGATTCCCCGAGAAGAGAATGCGCAGGTAGACGCCCTGGCTCGACTGGCAACCACAGAGGAAGATAAAGCCATACCCGTGGGATATTTGGATGAGCCTAGCACGGTCTGGGATTGGCCACAGAAAATACACCAGGTGGCCCATGGCATGGAGTGGGCAGAACCTATTATCAGGTACATTGAGAACGAAGAGCTACCCCAGGACCGCATGGAAGCACGAAAGATTAGGATGCGTGCGGCAAAATATTCCCTCGTTGATGGGGTTCTCTACAAGAAGGGATTTTCTCTACCCTACTTGCGTTATGTCTCCATTGATGAGGCAAATTACATTCTAAAGGACATACATGAAGGCCTTTGTGGAAATCATGCTGGGGGCAGATCACTAGCGCATAAAGCTATCCGACAAGGATACTTTTGGCCTACTATGAGGACAGATGCACTTGAGTTTGTGAAGAAATGTGACAAGTGTCAGAGATTCGCCAATGTCCCAAAACAACCAGCAGAAAAGTTAACCCCTCTTACAGGGTCGTGGCCTTTTGCCCAATGGGGGACAGACCTCATCGGCCCCTTACCCCAAGGGAAGGGACAAACTAAATACGTAATTGTGGCTATCGATTTATTTCACCAAATGGGTAGAAGCTGAGCCATTAGCTCATATTGGAGCGAATGAAGTAAAAAAGTTTTTCTGGAAGACAATAATCTGCAGGTTCGGAGCACCAAGGGTAATTGTGACCGATAATGGGAAGCAGTTTGAAAGTGAGCAGTTCCTCGATTTTTGTAATGAACTTGGGATCAAAGTTCATTTCTCCTCTCCTGCCCATCCCCAAGCCAATGGGCAGGTTGAAGTCACGAATAGGACAATATTGAAGATGATCAAGACACGCCTAGAAAAGGCCAAGGGCTTGTGGCCTGAACAAATACTCGGAGTTTTATGGGCCTATCGCACTACCGTAAGAACCCCTACTGGGGAGACCCCTTTTGGGTTAGCTTTTGGAAGTGAAGCTGTGATCCCGGTAGAAACAAAGGTTGCTACCTTCAGAACCAAGTATTTTGAACCTCAACAGAACGGAGTGGAACTACGATTAAACCTAGACCTGGTAGAAGAGAAAAGGGAGCAGGCCCAGGTCAAGGTCGCGGCTTACCAGCGGATGATATCCAAGTACTACAATGCCCGAGTCAAGCCAAGGAGGTTCGAGCCAGGAGACCTGGTGCTTCGTGAGGTTACCCCGGCTACTAAGGAAAAGGGGGAAGGAAAGTTAGCTCCCAATTGGGAGGGCCCTTATCGAGTAACCAAAAGCAACAGACCGGGGGCATACTGGTTAGAGCCACTTGGTGGAAGCCAGCTTCCCCACCCGTGGAATGCAGAACATTTGAGGAAATATTACCAGTAGGTACTCATGCCAGGCTGTGTTTTATTTTATTATCTCACTTTTAAAAGTGATAGAATGTTTTTAGCTACAATAAAGCAGACCAGTGTGTAACGGATGCTAATATTCAACTATCGATTATTATTTTCGATAGGTCTTTAATAAAATGGTTATTCGTATTTATTGCACGTGTTTCTACTGAATTTTATAAGTCACATAAGGACTAGTGACACATTAAGTCCCCTTTTTTATTAAAAGAAATAAGTGACTTTTCCTTACTAAAGGGACGAGCTGGGTGAAGCTCGTAAAAATATGTTCCTTCGAAAGAAGGACGGGCTGAGTGAAGCCTGGGAAAGTAAAATGAGTTCTGTATAAGGAAACAACAAGTATGGAACAATACCATGAAAGACAAAAGTAGAGCAACTATTCTCTAGATTCAAAGATATTCTGAAAAGTTTTAAAGGAACAACATACTGAGAAATCAAAAAACCTAATATATATATATATATATATATATATATATATATATATATATATGACTAATACTATGGAATTCAATCTTCCTCTTCGCTCTCACTTAGAACGTCATACCTAGAAAAGTCTATGTCTGGACGATCTTTGCCGACAAGAGCTTTGAACCAGTCAAAACCATCACAGCAAGCCTTGCCTATGAGCACCTTGAATTCATCAGAATTTTTAAAACTCTCCACGGCAGCTAGCTTCTCGAATTCCAGCTTATCAGAGTATTCTTTGGTAAGTTTCACTTTCTCATCTTGAAAGTTTAATTTTGCATTAGTCAAGTCATCTTCTTTTATTTTAAGTGTAGAAGTAACATCTTCATATTTAGCCTTGAGGGAAACCATCTCTAAGGAAAGCTTCTCGTATTCTTTGGCGATAACAACAGAGTATGTAGTGCCCTATAAATAAATAAATAGTGGCAAACAGTTAAAAATAAATAAATAAATAAACGAAAAAAAAAGAGATGCGCATAATAAGGGTAAAATCTCACCTGGCTGATTAGATGAAGAAATTTCTTTGAAAGCTCAGATGCTGGCAGACTCTGCAATCTGGCAGTGTCGTCTTTTACTACCATTTTATGTAACTTGTCATTCGCGACATTAGCGTCATCGAGAATCGATTCCCCGTGGGAAAAGGCTTGGTTGGTTGATACTGAACAAAAACTTTCGAAACTAGTAGGAACCCCACCAAATCCGCTGAAACCTAGAGGTACAAGAGTAGGACCTGATAACACTCCAGGGCTTGCGGATGTACCATGATTCCCTTCTCCTACCCTTCGTAATTTTTTGGAAGTAGGAGTAGAAGGGAGATTACTTGACCGGACTTGGGCTAGGAGTCTTTTACTGAGCTTCTTGCCTGCATAAAAAGTAATAAGGGAAATACTTAATGAGATATTAACTAAAAATCAATAAGTTCACATATAAGTATGTTTGTTTTTCTTACCTTTCTCTAAGTGGGTGGAGGTTTCCTTTGAGCTATGAGCTCGTACATACAAATCTAAAGCCTCGTCAGTTATGAGATCGCTAAAGGTCTTTACTGGGTAAGAAGAGGCATTACCAACATGCTCGGCTTCTGGAATGGAGAGGGTTGGTTTGTGTTTAAATTCTGGGAAAAAGAATAATAAGTTGCACCTAAAAAAAAAAATTCCTATTCATGAACAGTACCCGAGGGTACTATTCCCTCGGGTGCAAAAAAAAAAAAATCCTATTCATGAACAGTACCCGAGGGTACTATTCCCTCGGGTGCAACAAAAAAAAAAAAAAAATTCCTATTCATGAACAGTACTCGAGGGTACTATTCCCTCGGGTGCAAAAAAAAAAAAAATTCCTATTCATGAACAGTACCCGAGGGTACTATTCCCTCGGGTGCAAAAAAAAAAAAATCCTATTCATGAACAGTACCCGAGGGTACTGTTCCCTCGGGTACAAAAAAAAAAAAAAAAAAAAAAATTAATTTGGAAACTATATACGTATAAATCTTACCTGTTGGATCTAAATTATTCCAAATAGTTGGAAATTTCCCGTATGCACCGGAAATAAAGAAGAAACGACTCTTCCAACCTTTATTATTTTCAGGAGTTGCAACAAGGAGGAATGTCTTCTTTGATCTACACTGGAAGTGCCAAAAATTGTCTTTTTTCTTCTTGGGATAATAAAAATGCAGGAATTGATTTACTGTTAGACGGCCATTGCCACACTTTCCCCAAACAATCAAACAGCCTATACTAATTCTCCATGAATTAGGAGCAATTTGAGAAGGAGCTATCTTCAGATGAGAAAGAATTTCTTCTACAAATGGATGAATCGGAAAACGCAAGCCCGCAGCAAAAGTCGACTCGAAAAAACATACCTCACCCAAACGAATAGAAGAACATCTATCTTCTGGTTTGGGTTTGTGAAGACGAATAGATGAAGGAATAACTCTACAACTCTGTAAAGTCTCATCCTTCATTAAGGATTCTCCTTCACGAGGAGGTTGCTTGGAAAAAGCAGTCATTGGTCTTGAGGAGTAATCAACACCAGATTCATCAGCATAGTCAGGATCGAGTTCTTCAACACTTTCAGAGGTTGAGTCCTCGGATTGAGATTCAGTATTCAAGTTATTTTTCTGCACGAACATGATGAGGTATCGGATATCGCAAAAATAGCGAAACCACTTTGGAATTACACCAATAACCTGGTAGAGACAACTTGACCTAATTACGTATCTACAACGATCCACAATAAACTCACAGTTAGGATCCAGTTTGGAGAATTTCAGACCAAAAAGAAAAGGAAGGTAAATAAATAAATATATATATTTATCTATTTATAGGAAAGAAAATTCTTTTTCAAGTAACAGTGAAGTTCTTGTAAAGGAGTCCTACTACAATATGGAAGGGGCCTGTAGTAAATAGGAAACAAATGGAATATAGAAAGTATTTCCTTGGTCCACCACGTACCCAGAAATAGGGGGCAACTGATAGGGAAAAATAACCCTAGCCTATCTTGACTTAACAAAAACGGGAATTAAATATTGACCTGCCACCAGATTTCTCCAACTCTCAGACGATAATATCTCGTTATTAAGGATAACCATTCTATTAGATAAGAATGATGATAAATCGTATCTAGGATAGGATTTGTCATGGGATAAGTTCAAATCTTATCAAGGATAGGATTTCCACGAGGTAGGCTCCATGGGCTAAGGACGATGAAACTCCCTTATCAAGAATAAGGGAAGTGACTATAAAGACAAAGACGACTCGGGGATAAGGTACACACAAAAAAAACTCTTATTAAGCAAATTACGATTAAAATTCTCTATCGAGAATCCTTGCTAACTTGATCGTCGGAGGGTCAACGGCCGGCACCACATCGGTGTTTGACTTTGCCATCCTTATTTTGCAGGAAACGGTGTCGTACTAGACCGTGGCGAAATTCAACCTCAACACAAGTGATAGCTAGATAAAAATAAGATGTAAACTAGAAGTTGGTGAGTAGAGATCATATATGCCCTGCATATTCTGGAGTCTACATGGACAGGATAGAAAATGCTTATACATCAACAAAACACAATATCCAAGCAAACCAACTTCAAAACAGATTAGAGACTATATGCGTCTGTTGGTATGTTGGCATGCAACCCAAAAAAAAAAAATTAGTGACACCATCAGAATCATGTTATGTGTGTGAGCATTTCTTTCTTACTAAATTTCAGGGGAAAAAAGGGGCGGAGGCTCTCACCTGAACATAGAGAGCGGTGACATCAGCAAATCGAGAAACTGACTTAGACAGTCCGAGAAGACAATCGCACAGTGAAGATCTAGAACAGATTTAGTGCCAAAACTCATCAAAGAAGACTAATAAAGAAATGTATTGGACCGCAATGACACATAACGCCATCTTTAGCGCCAAAACTCATCAAGTGTTATTAGTAAGAGCATCTCCAATGCACTCTTATTTGAGCTCTCAAATTCAAAATATGAGAGGTGAGTAAAAAATGAGCTCTCCAATGGCTTTCATTTGAGCTCTCAAATTTCCTCTCTCTCACATATAGCAGCTGCCAAATTTTTTTAGCAGACTACTTATTTCTCATACGAAGCCATTCCAAGTCAAAGGAACTTTTAAGGCCTGCCCATCTCATCCGTTTCTATCCCTTTCATTGCAATTCAATAAAATTTCTGCCATCGCTACCATCAAAATTCCAATAAAAAGGTATAATCTCAATAAGCTGTTCCACACACACACACACACACATATAATTTTAACCCAAATTCGTCTATATATAGATATATATTTATTTAAAAAAGATCATAAAAAATTTCACCAAATATGATTTAGTTTGCAAAACAAGAATTACAGACCTTAATTAGTTGATTTAGAAAAAAAATTAAAACAAAACCCATACGTACAAGTTAGTAGTTGCAGAGAGAGAGGGGAGCAAGCTTGAGAGTTGAGAGACAGCAGCTGAAGCTACTTTTACGGCGAACCCGAACTAGAACAGCGGGAGATGGAAATCTGAAAGATATGGGTTTTGAACTTCTGATTCTTGTTGATTTTGTAACTGAAAGATATGGGTTTTGAACTTCTGATTCTTGTTTATTTTGTAGTTTGTAGTTGCACAGAGAGAGAGAGAGAGAGAGAGAGAGAGAGGGGCAGTTTTAGAGTGAGAACGAAAAACAGAACAAAGAAGTGTGCCGAGAATAGAGACGGAGGCAATTGGGGGGGCTGAAATGATTTGCCCTAAAACTATGTATATATATTTAATAATAATAAAATCAAATATATATAATATAATATAATCAAATATATATATAATATACATATATATATATATATATATATATATATGTATGTATGAATTTTCGAAAAAGAAAAAAAAATTATATAATAATATAATCAAATATATAAATTTATTCATATATATATATATATATATATTCATCCTTTTTTTACCAGGTATTTTAGATTTTTGTTTCTTTTTAATTAGGTTGAATTTTAGTTTCTTTCTAATGTCTACAACTTAACTTGGAATGTGCCTAATATTAATATTACTGATGCAAATATGAATGGTAGGAATGATAGTTGAAAAAGAATGGTAATTGTGTTAAAAAATAGTATTTTGCATGGAATGCACCATTAGAACAGAATTACTAAAATGTAGCATTTTGACATTGTAGCATTTGTCAAAATATAGATTTGGCATCCGAAAATGACTTTTAGCATTAAAGATGCTCTAAGAGTAAAGTAACACCTATGAGGTTCGGTAAAAAGACATTGAGATGTAAATTACCCTATTTTGGACAAACAACCCCTTGTGAAATTTGCAAGCCAAACAGAGCCTTAAAACATGTGAAAAGTCAGTTTTACCCTTCAGTATTTATTAATTTTAATTATAAAATATCAAAATAATTAAAAGACCAAATTACCCTTTTTCATCTTCCTATATATATATATACACACACACACACACACACCCCAGATAGAACCACATGCGTTAAATGACAACAAAAAATTATTTGGAAACGAAATGGAGAAAGAAAAATCTAAAATAAAATTAAAGTAACGGTAACTTGCAAATTAATATAAGTGCTAAATTAATTTTTTTTATTCATTTAAAATTTCATAGCAGAATAATTTCAAAACTTTAAGTTATCATTAATCCGTTACTAAGTCAATCATTTCGTCACTTTTCATCATTTTCAAAGTCTTTTTATACAAAACCTTATGAAAACCCTAATATTCTTGCAGTAATTTTTATAGTCGAAGAATTAAAGAATATAATTTTATTTCGCCAAGCAATGAAAAAGGCTAGTGAATCAATAGTACAAAAGATTTATTATATCAAATCATATACTATATTAGAATATAACAAAGGTTAAACAGAAAAGGAACACAAAATTATGTAGAAAAGGAACACAGAAAAATAAACACATTATATACACAGAATGAAAAATTTTCAATTAAACATGATCATAATGTAATTGGAACAAAACACTTAGTCATAGCAAAATATAAATAGTACAAATAGAGTATTATAAAATAATAACAATCCAATAAAAATATCAATAAAAGTATAATAACATAAAAGAGAGTAAGAAACTTCTGTCTGTTAGAGAGTCATGACTATAAAAGGCTTTAAGATTGTCACGTTCATGAAAGAACATTTACCAAGTCTTCCATTATCATGTTGCCCATAAATTTAAGATATATAATGAGATAGTATATCGGTAGTAAGGAGGAATATTTAGGAAATAAACAAAGAGGAAAATGTAAAAATTATATTGTATTCATTGAATAACTATCCTATTTATAGGATATTACATATCTATTTATGAAAGGATATGTTTGTTCAACTTTAAAAAGTTTTTGCCTTAACTTTTTTGAAAACCAATTTGTTGCACACTAATCAAATATGTGTCTCCAACAAAAAGGTGCGACCGCATTTAATAATTTTTTGCACATAAATTTTTACATAGAAAGATGGAAAGAGAGAAAGAGTGAGAGAGTAATTTAGGAAGTTGAAATATCTATCTATCTTTTTTTATATGATTGAATCGATATATACTTTCAATAGTTTTAAGGAAGCTTATCTTATTTTACAAAAAAATTTAGTATATACAACATAATTTAAATTGAGAGTTGATAGGAGTCTATTTTAACTAGACAGTAACTCTTTTTGAAAGAAAATGTTTGTTATATAAAAAGTGTTTGAATTTGAAAGAAATTCTTTATAGAATAAGACACTTGCTAAAAGTATATAAAACAGAAGGGGTGACTGGAGTTTTGTTTTTTGTTTTCTTTCTCTTTCGCAAATTGGTGCGCTAGCA